TATCTCGCAGAGGAATGACATTGCTTTGCTGGAACTGGACCAGCCTGCCCAGTGCAGCCCCTACGTACAGCTTGCCTGTGTGCCCGCCGCCTCGCCGAGAGTGTCAGAGCTGACAACCTGCTACGTCAGTGGCTGGGGTTCCACGACCGCAGGATGGGAGTTCCCAAAAAGCGCTCGCGGCCGGAGCGCAAGCTTGGCACGCTGGGGAGACGGGCTGGGCTTCTTGAGAAGAAGTCTGCCTACAGAGAGATGTCCCCAAAGCAGGGCAGAAGGGAAACGCGGGTACGACGCCTCCAAGGCGCAAAGCCAAGCCCCGCGGAAGGGGTTCACCCAGAGAGGGGAGGAGGACCGCGGCGAGCTGCACCAGCTCCGCTCTGCTGTGGCTCTTTCGAATTCGGTCTAAGGGCAGCGTGGGCTCTTCAGAGGGTCACCGCCTCCCCGCTTCCAACCGAAGGACAAGCCGCACACAAGCCCCGTGGCGTCACCAGCAGAAGGCGAAACCTCCCACGCCTGCAAAGTTTCACCTTTTGCCACAGGCTCTGCTTTCCCTGAGGGGGAAAAAAGAGCAGAGCTGCTGATGGCTGAGGAGGAGAGCCGTAAGCGGAGCCTTTCTCACCTCCACTTCTCGCCTGCCCTCGTCCGTGAAACCCGAATTCTCTTCGTAAGCAACTGCCGGTTTGATAGCATCACTGAAGAGCTGAGAAGGAGAACGCTTGTCACCCCGAGAAAGGGCCGCTGGGCTCAGTACGGAAACTGTTCCCACCTCCCAAGAAAAATAAAACCCTCTGCAACTCCCTGGAGCTCCCAGGTAGCCAAAGAGACGTACCGGCCCCTTTTCTGCTCTCTGCCTACCGCAGGCTCCGTGTCCTTGGACGGTAGATCTCGTGGATGAGATGTAGCCAAATCGCTACGTTTTACCTTCACTGCATTGCTGCCTTCCGCAGCGGACGCAAAGTAAAAGGGCAAACTGAACGTCCAGGCAAAGCTGAAGCTTTTTTGGGTCTCCTTCATATCCGTTGCGGGGCAAAAAAAAGGGAGAAGCGGTCAGTGAGGCCTCGCTGTAGGCAGGCTCTGCCGGAGCGGTGGAACAGATGGAGACCAGAGCCCGATGCGGCCTTTTTAACCAGAACTCCCCCTGCCCTTCTGCCACGTTACCTGTAGCCCTGTGAGGCACGCGGCACGCCACAGCCTGCAGGTGACTCAACTCTCATAGATTTTTACTTCACAGGCGGTAAGGTCCGGCCACCCCAACCTCGGGAGGCCAGGGCCTTTATTTCAGTTTTGGAACAAATCTACTGCGTATTTACCTATCTACCTGGCTGCCCTCCTGGGCGACGGCCTCATCACCACCGCCGTGGCCTGTGACCACCGCCTCCACACCCCCATGTGCTTCTTCCTCCTCAGCCTCTCCCTCCTCGACCTGGGCTCCATCTCCACCACTGTCCCCAAAGCCATGGCCAATTCCCTCTGGGACACCAGGGCCATCTCCTACGCAGGATGTGCTGCCCAGCTCTTTCTCTTTGTCTTTTTGATGGCAGCAGAGTTTTGTCTCCTCACCATCATGGCCTACGACCGCTACGTGGCCATCTGCAAACCCCTGCGCTATGGGACCCTCCTGGGCAGCAGAGCTTGTGTCCACATGGCAGCAGCTGCCTGGGGCACTGGGTTCCTCTATGCTCTCCTGCACACGGCCAATACGTTTTCACTCCCCCTCTGCAACGGCAACGCTGTGGACCAGTTCTTCTGTGACATCCCCCACATCCTCAAGCTCTCCTGCGCACACTCCTGCCTCAGGGACGTTGGGGTCCTTGTGGTCAGCATCTTAGTAACGTTCACCTGCTTTGTTTTCATTGTGCTGTCCTACGTGCAGATCTTCAGGGCCGTGCTGAGGATCCCCTCTGAGCAGGGACGCCACAAAGCCTTGTCCACGTGCCTCCCTCCCCTGGCCGTGGCCTCCCTCTTTCTCAGCACCACCATGTTTGCCCACCTGAAGCCCCCCTCCATCTCCTCCCCACCCCAGGACCTGGTGGTGGCAGTGCTGTACGCGGTGGTGCCTCCAGCAGTGAACCCCCTCATCTACAGCCTGAGGAGCATGGAGGAACCCAGGTTGAGGAGGAAGAAGCACATGGGGGTGTGGAGGCGGTGGTCGCAGGCCACGGCGGCGGTGGTGATGAGGCCGTTGCCCAGCAGTGCAGCCAGGTAGATGCCCAGGAAGAGCCAGAAGTGCAAGAGCTGCAGCTCCCACGTGGCTGCGAAGGCCAGGAGGAGGAACTGGGTGAGGGAGCTGCTGTTGGACATTTGCTGCCTCTCGGCATGGGGATCTGGTCAAGGAGGTAAAGGAAGGGAGACGTTAGGGCAGATTGCTTTCTTTGAGAAAAAACTATTCAATCTCTTATAGAAACCCCCCAAAGAGCCTTTCCCTTTTTGGGAAGAGCTTTGGTGAGCTGTGGTTGGTGCTGGCTGAGGGGGCCCCAGGGAGCAGCAGGCTCTGCTGGGGGCTCTGCAGGACCCAGTCCTGCCCTACACCAGTAGGTAAACAGGAACTCGGGGTGATCTCA